CTCGCGCGGCCCCCCCCTGCCTTGTCCCCCCCCCCCCCCCCCCATGTGTCCCTGTGTCACCTGGAGGCCGATGATGTTCCTGCCCTCACGGAGCTTCTCGGGGTGAAAGCGCCGCTGCTGCTTCTCCGCGTACTTCACCCCCAAACCCACGTTGTTCCCCTTCGTCTTGGCCTGCGTGAGACCCTGGGGCTCAGGGCGTGCACAGGACCTCGCCCCACCAGAGCCCCCAGACCCACATTATCCCCTGGGACAGCCCCATAACTCCCCCAGGCCCCATCTGCCTCAGGCCCCCTGAGACCCCAAATACCCCCCCAGGGCTTCCCCGAGCCCCCGGCTTTGCCCCATTGGGCCCCACCTCCCAGCAGGTGAGGGCAATGGGGGAGGACTGGGCCTGCATGCAGTTGGTGTCCTAGCAGGGGACGTAGGGAGCCCCCAGCACCCCCCAGTCGCTCCCCAAGGACCCCCCAGGACCCCGGGCCCCGTCCCGCCCCAGCGGGGTCACCTGGCTGGCGAGGGCGATGAGGGTGGACTGGACCTGCGTGTGGTTGGTGTTCTCAAAGAGGTCATTGGCCTCGAAGATGTCATGGGGCTTCACCCCGTAGCGCGTGATGGCCCGCAGGAAGTTCCCAATGTTCTCCAGCTGCACACAGGTCGGCTCAGAGCCCGGGCCCCTGGCCCATCCACGGGACCCTGACCCCCTGCAGACCCCAAGTAGCCCCGCGGGCCCCCCGGGCCCCAGCCCCCCGTTCGGGGCCCCCTCACCTTGTGCCAGTTCTGGACGGGTTCATTCACCTTCTGCACGGAGCCGGGCTGCAGCTTGTTGATGAGCCTGGGGGGCGGGGGGCCGAGGTCAGGGCCAGGGCAGGGGTCAAGGGCAGGGTCGGAGCAGGGGTCAGCCCTCACTGGTCAGGGTCAGCCCTGACTCAGGTGAGGTCAGCGAGGGGACAAGGGATGGGGTCAAGCTCAAGGTCTGGGGTCAAGATTGGGCTGAGTTCCTGGAGGATGACCCCAGACTCGAGCCGGGGTCAGGGGCTGGGGTGGGCCGCGCTCCCAAAGCACAGCCCGGTCCCCGAGCCAGGGCCAGGGTTGGGGTCAGGGTTCTGGTCATCAGTCAGGGGTCATACTCGCAGAGGATGACGCCATCCTTGAGGCCGTCCATGAAGCTGTCCCCGATGCGGCGGCCGGGGGGGCCCCCG